ACCAAAACTCCTACAGCCTAATAATGCATGGAAAAATTCCACTCATTAGCAGATTTGATCAGATATATTATTCATCACCTAATAAAGGGACAAACATAAAATGACTGACACTAAACTATGAGTGGATCATTCAAGGGTATCAATTCGGAACAAAAACAAAGTGCTGTTGGCCAAAATTTATAGAAGGGGGTGGAGAAGCAATGATAAACATACATTATGTGTCTCTAGTCCAGTTTCTTCCTGCCCCAATAATGTTGCCATCCTCAACAATCATACAGCGTTCAATCAAAGAGTACAATCTGAAATCATTCACTAATTAAGACTAAAATACTAATCATCTTAGTTAGAAAATAAAGTAACATATGTACTGAAAACTAGTATCTTAACCAACTGGAACTTCAAGACTGTCCAATGCAAGCTTTGCCTTATATAAGAAAAGCAAATAGGTCTTGTTACTTGTTAGGAGCAAAAAAAATAATGAGGATAAGAGTCAGAAATTCTCTCATGCATGCATGTATGCATAAAGGCAATTCAAGAGGAAATCAGCATCAAGTTGCCAGCAGTAGAAGTATTTCAGTATCAATATGCAGCTACTAATGGAACGAATGCATGAACAAATGCATGTCTCAAAATTATATGGTCAAGATCTTGCAGATCCTGTATAATATACTGATCCTAAACTTCCACGCAATGATTATCACCAGATACTCATCCTGTAAGACAGATGCAAATCCCACCTAACAGTTAAACTGATATGGCTCTAACAATAGTAATGCAAAAACAACTACTACTTTGAGAAACTACATGTTGCTCATTCCAGCGTGTCCTATCATGGGTACCTAAGAAGCTTATCTTTCATTAATGAGGCTTCACACAAACATTCAAGAACGTTCCAGGAGTTTTGGCCTCTGGGTCATTTTCTTTTATAAATGTTACGGCACATAAGGATAAAAGGAGATCCCTAAACTGTTGAGAAGCCCTCAGAAATCAAAATTGGCAATCAGCTTCTTGTGATTTTGTCTCTATTCTACTGAATAACTTATGTAAACTCCGTGTTTCTCATGATTTTTTCTTTTTCGTATCCATAGGCCACAGGTCCAAAGAAAATAGTCACCAAACCAGTTGGGCACAACCAATGTTCATATTACTCTCACGCTTCAAGTAAATTTGGTTTCCAATTCTCCCTAGGTGCCAAAGTTAACAAGTGGTAAAAGGACTTGACTGTCAAGCAACCTTTCCTGGTGGCTTGCCATCTCATTGCATCTTCTTCGTTCGTCTTTGATTTTGCCTCTTCAACCGCCTCATGAAACCCAGCGAAAGAGTCCTATCCCGGTGATTGAAGCTTGTAACAATTTAATTAACCTGGCAAAACCTATCACCCGCTGCACATCTTTATGAAAGGCACATACTACACATCCACATTTCCTAGACAGCATAAAAGCACCCAAATCCCTCCCTCCCTCCCAACCTACAGCACCCGGATTGGCTCTGTTTTTTGCTTGAACAGGGGATTGAACCACCCCATGTAAACCCAACTTCCCTTTGTTGCTCTCTCCCTTGCTTGTTTTTCCTTTTAACCTAGACTTCACCTACTTCTTTCAATAAATTGCCACCTATGAAAACGAAGAAAGAAAAGCTATATCTGCTAGGGATCGTAGCTGATTTTGCAGTGTGTAATGTCAATTACCAATGGATTCACTAACAAGCATCCAGAGACAACACTTACGAAGAAACACTTATTCAACGTCTCTTGAACAAATTCAACTATACATTCTTCAAGTTCCCCCGCAATTGTAGCACCAAATGAATCGGATTCAAACTTCAGCTCAAGTTTGGCTGTGCCAGACGTTATCTGATCTATAGCAAGCCGGACGAAACCCAGAACCTCAGCAGAGAATTGTTCACCCAAAGCTGTGTTATCAGTTTCCATGCCTTCGGTTGGTGGTGGTAGTCTGTCGCCTCCACTCGCTCGTCTCCGTAGCCTTCAGTTTGCTAAGCTGTTTCAGGAAAAAGAACTTCTCTTCATTGCTCCATTTTCATCAAAGCTCGCCGGTGTCGGATGAAAGATCAGCAGTCGTGATATTGAAAGTGGCGTCGATGGTGTTCGAAGTTTGCCTATGGTGGAGGAAAGGAAAGAGCTTAGAATGGGAAAATCAAAGAAAGAAGGTGGAGAGAAAAAATTAATACAAAGAAAAAGAATATATAGAAGAAAGAATTACAGAAATTGATTTTAGGATATATAGTTAACCAGGTTAAAGGGGATTCAGCGAAAAGAAAAAAGAAGGTTAGGTGGTTATGCATAGATGAAAATGGGTGATTATCTATGAAATACGTGGTCCTTAAAGACCTGTTATATCTCTACTATGATCGAAGGGTAGTTTGGAAAGACGAAACTTGATTTTGACTTAGGCTCTATTTGTTTGGAGGAAAATATTTTACCAGAAATCTTATTTTTCCATTTTTCAATGTTTGGTGTGGGAAAATAAGCTGTTCAAAGAAAAATGACTGCAGTCAACAAGAAAAAACCAAGCTTAAAAATAAGGAAAATGACTTCCTAATTTTAAAGGTGGAAGTCATTTTCCATAAAAGTATGAAGGACTATCCTGACCAAAGTGTTTTGATAGATGACCAGGTAAAAAAAGGATTCTTTCAAGCATACGCACTCGAGCGAGCACGCATGTTCACTGGGAGATCACAGAATTCTCTGGACAACACTAGCATAAACTGCTCAAATGGGAAATTTGTGGTTCAATGTGATTCACAGCCTGATATAGAGTATAGCTGATGCACCAACCTAGCAGTACGTCATCACACACCAACACAGAAATTGATCATGGACTCAGAGGTCCACAGCCTGACAAGCCCTCCCACAAATTAAGTACAGACCACAAATTAAGTACAAATTAAGTACACACCAACACCAGTGCAGGTACCAAATCTGTAAATCTCTGGTCGTTCAAGTTCCTCTCTACTTTCATCTCTACTACACTGTTATCATCTCTAGTATGTATTCAGAAAAGATGATTATCCGGTGAGATGCTCAACTCAATTTTCTCCGGGGAATTTTAACGAACACCTGGCTGGCTAATCATAGCAACTACTACAGATGAATATACCTCCAAATTCTAGCCATCTCCATAGAATCAATCCCGCTAAACAAATCGAAACGCCCCTAACATGATAAACTCAAGATCAGGGAATCAGAGTTAATTTCTCTATCGGTCTTATCATCTGGAAAAAGGTGGAAGATGAGCGCAGAACAAATCGCCATATAAGACGGCTTGAGAAACTCAAACATGTGGTGGGTCGCCAAGATCAGAAAAACAAAGAGCAAGAAGGACGACGAAGGGATTCGAGTCAAGGACGCGCACCGCAGAGAGAGTTTCAAGGAAGAAGAAGACAACTTCAAACCGCAGAGGCGGAATCGCCAGCGAGAGTTGACTTTTTACTTTCGAGGTCAACTTTTCAAGGTTTGATCCTTCGAAAGCCAATGCAATTCCTTAATATTCTCGAAGGAATTTTCTTATATTCTAAATTTCTTCAATTGTTTTACAGATTTATCTTGTTCTCTGCAGATTTTTGCGTGTGCCCAGAGACACATCTCATCTCATGATTATCTGAGGATCTCAACCAAGTTGTGGTAGAATTTCTGAGGTAAATACACTCTACAATTTCTTGGATTAATACTATAACACCGACTTTTTCTTATTTTACTAATAATCCTAAATTAAACCAATTGTAAAACCAATACTATCTTTTTGTCACAATTGTACAAATTTGGGATTTTTGTGATAAAAGAAGAAAGAGTTTAGAGTATTGTATCGTTGTAGGCAAAGCATATGATTTTTTTGTAGTGGATAGAGAGTATTTTTGTCACACTGGTTTAAGTCTGGATATTGTTGTTATATATAAAAAAAAAAGTTTGCGATATTGGTGTTGGAATGAGTATAGTTTCGGATTTTTGGTGATATATTTCTTTTTTTTCTAAATATATTTTAGTACTTTTCTCATAAATGGTTAAGAAAATCAAAACGTTCCACATGCGACGGATCCTATCGGACATATTCTTATATAATTTTTCACGCACAAGGTAATTAATTTTATCTATTTCTTTCCCTATCAACCTCTTCTATAATTTTCTGAGGCAATCAAGCTACACTGAAAATAGTTGAGATTTTGGTGAAAATGTCGAACTTGATACTAATTTTGGAGTAATTGAGATCGTTCCGCATAAAGGGTAACGAGTGAAATCATTCAGCAAAAATCACATTGGCAATGCGAGCACTGTAATTTTGAGTACATAGCACAACAGTAATTTCACAAGTAAGAAGCTCTCTTTCTCAGAAAAAATTTCGCAACCTTCGAATATACTGTAGTTTAGGTTTATGCTCTATTTCCTACTTTACGCTAGCTGTTAATTATAATCAGTCGCATCGTTTTACAATTTTAGAAATACCATATCGAACCAAACGGCACGAAAAGCAATCGCACATGAACTATCTGAGGATTATATAACATTCCCATCGGGCCAAAAGCAAACTATCAGTTCTTTGCTGAGCTCACCGTCTTTTGACTAAAAACCGATTCCCAGTTCTCTCTGCTCATCCCAAAGACAATTAGAAGGGATCAAGCTTGAGAGTTCACGTTCAGAGGAAGCTCCGGATGTTTTCGTGGGTCCAAGTCTGAAAATACTCGGTCCCAAAGCCATATATTCTTTGATAAGTCTGTCATTCCCTTTGGACAACATATATACTGTTGTTGAAAGGAATAGCGAACGAGGTAATCCACACGAATCAAAACGTGATTCGGTGAAAGTGCATCGGCCAGAGCAAATGATACGGAGTGACTAAGTATAGAGCAGCCGTAGTAAACTGCTGCTGCTAACAGACCCCAAGTACTTGCAGGTTGGATATGGTAAACTTGGCAGTCTAGGAGCATCCCAGCAACAAGAATGATTTTCAGACTTGAGGACCATGAGAGCACAATAAGGGTTCTAATAGTTCGTGAAAATGTCGACCAAGCTACGTAACAAGTTCATTTATATAGGTAAGATGTAGAAGTATCCGGAAGTAACTGCTGAGTTTATAGAAATAGGGAAGGGAACACGATTCTATGCACTTGACAAATAGAATCTTACAGTTTTCCACGATGGTCGAGTTCTTCGGCACTAGCCTAGCCTCAAAGGTAACAACTGAGACATCAAAGAGTAGAGACACTCCTTGATAAAAATGTAAATGCTGCTATATTACAAAGCCTAGCTTATGCAGGTATAGAATGCAATAGACACCGCTCTCTGCCATGAAACCATCATACCAATTTTCCAGGTGACTGGAAAATACAAACCTGGAAATTATGTCCTGGACCCAGTTATGACATCAAGCAATCCACAGCAATTCATCCATGAAGTCCTTTGCGCCACTCTCGGAGTCATCACTACCTCATGCTGCGGAGCAATAGCTCAGTAAGTAATTAAGCAGATTCCATTTCTGATGCATAAATTCAAAATAATCATAAATTTCGGAGGCTACAATTGATAAAAAACAAGTGAAATACCAACCGCTCTGCTGAATTTGCCACAGGCAAACTCTCACTCTCTCCATTGTACAATTCCTTCACCGACTCGGGCCTCTCGATGCAGATATCTGCGTTCTCCAACTCTTCCTCGGTTTCCTCTTTCTTGACAACCTTAACTATAAGAATTCTTTTAGACTTTAACTCAGTTCCTTGGCCATCAGTTTCATCACCAACAGCTTCCTCAACATCCCTCTGATCGATCTGTAAAACATCTCCAGCTTCCACTTCCTCAACAGTTTGAACAACTGCATTTCACCCTAGAGGCTCGTTCATAGATGTGAACGGAGGAGACGGCGATTCCCCACAATTTAAGTCCTCATGGCCCTTATTCAATGAGGGAGGGTGGTCCTCAGATGTTGGGGAGTTAATCTGGAAACCGCCGTCGCTATCCTTCTTGTTTTCACTTATCAAATCACCATTTTCTAATCCCAAAAGATCCCAGAGAAAAGGAAATGAATCAGTAAAAGAAATCACCGAATATCTAACCACCAAACCAAAACAAAAAAAATATACTCATCCATACAGGTATAAAAGGTTGCGAGTTAAATTAAGATTGGAAATTTTTTTAAAGATAAGTCATCAGATTAACCACACACAGCCAAATGAACAAACATCTAGCAAACCAAATGACATTGACAAGTATTCACCAAACAAAATTGACAGAAAAGATAAGGTTTATGAAACTTTCCATAAACCTCCATTTATTTTCATGGTCATGTTTTGCAATATTCAAAGTGCGACAACGTACAGAATCACTACAAACCCACATTCACCAGTAACAAACATAAGGAATCATAAACCTTCAGTAAGCTTTAGTTGTCAATTGTTGGATGTCACAATTTCATAGTAAAGCTATGTAGATACAAAACCAGCAACAAAAGCAAGTTCAGAAATTGACCTAATGCATGCCTCAGGAATGCAACGACAGTATTGAGCCACAGCCTCCAAATTTATCGTTTGTACAGCCATATATACCTCCTTTATACCTAAAAATGGGCAAGAGTCATCTAATCATATGAATAAACAAATTCTAGTAAAGTTTAGTTTTGTTTCAGTATGATCAACAGATGTACCAATGATCGATAATGATGCTGCAAACATTATGCATGGTTCATGTCACATACAGTGAGCATACTGAAAACTTCTGCAGCTGAAAATCCAGTCCTCTTCCACTGTTCAAGAAGAACATCAAGAGCTTCCATCTCTGCATGTCTTCTTGCCTATGAAAGCGCAAGGAGAAAAACAGAGCAAGAATGTCAAATTATGGAGCATTGTCAGAGAGACAGTTGCTCTTAATGTAGTTTCAACATAAATTTAGGAAATGCATTTCATGAGAAATGTTTTCTCCTTCAAGTTAACTGATTGAGAATACACGTAAGATTGATTCGGGCATACTACATGAATTCAACAAGATAATCACTTGAAGTGGCTGAGAATCTCACTTGTAAAAAGAGGCTTCTTATTAGATTAGCCACCTCCCACTTTTCTAACAGTATTTTCATATATATATATATATATATATCCCTGTAGCAAGGTGTCTTTATCTTTTTATTATGCTCCACGAGATACTAAACGGGCCACATATTTCATATCAACTATTTTTCACCACATATCTATTAATGTGACAGCAATAGAATATTAGATAAGAGATGTCTACCAGAAACCCAGCTTAAAGTATTTGTGTAAATGTGGTCATTGTAAGAAGAAATGTGGCCAAGGAGCAGGTTCTTAGATCTTAAAAGGCAATACAATGCTCACAATGCATTTTCATACCAAAAAAGCATATCAAAAGTCTAGCTATCATACAGCCTAAGAAAATATCATCAGGAGCTTTCCCCTAAGCAGATAAAGAACGTAATATGGTTCCAGACAAAGCACAGTGGCAGATGAAAAACGTAAAACAATGTCTATAATAATGCAAGATTATTGTTAGCTGTAGACATATTTTATGAACAAATGATGGGAACCAAACCCTTTACAGCCTAATAATGTATGGAAAATTCCACTTATTAACAGATTTATTCAGATATATTGTTTTATCATCTAGTAAAGAAACAATTAAGGGAGAAACATGAAATGATCAACAATAAACTATGAGAGGATAACAAAGTGCTCTTGGCCAAAATTTATAGAACGGGGAGGAGAAGCAATAATAAACATACATTTCGTGTCTCATTAGTCTGGTTTCTTCCTGCCACAATAATGTTCCCATCCTTAACAATCACACAGCTAGTCAGTCAAAGTACAATATAAACAAACTACAATCTGCGATCATTCACTAATTAAAATTGAAATACTAATCATTTGAATTAGAAAATAAATTATCATATTGAAATGCACCTTGTTACCCAACTGGAACTTCAAGGCAGTCCAGAGCAAGCTTTGCCTTATATAAGAAAAGCAAATAGCTCTTGTTACTTCTTAGGAGAAAAAAATACGAGGACAAGAGTCAGAAATTCTCTCAAGCATACACACACATGCATACAGGCAATTCAAGAGGAAATCTGCATCAAGTTGCTACCAGTAGAAATATTTCAACATCAATATGCAGCTACAGATGGAATGAATGCATGTCTCATAGCTATATGATCAAGATCTTGCAGGTCTTGTATAATATACCGGTCATTAACTTCAAGCAATGATTATCCCCACATACTCATCTAGAGATTCAGATGCAAATCCCACGTAACTTTTAAGCTGATTTGGCTCTAACAACACTAAAGCAAGAACAACAACTAATTTGAGAAACTACATGTTTCTCATTCTAGTGTGTCCTACCATTGGTACCTCAGAAGCTTATCTTTCATTGATCAGGTTTCCCTCAAACATTCTTAGAAGTTTCCAGGAGTTATTAGCTTCTAGGAGATTTTCCTTCATAAACGCTATGGCACATAATGATGAAAAGAGAACTCCAAACTGTTGCGAAGGCCTTAAGAATTAGAACTAACAAGCAGCTTCTTGTGCTTTTCTCTCTATTGTACTGAATAACTTATATAAACTCCTTGTTTCTCGCTATTAATTCATTTCCATATTTACAGTCCACAGGGCAAAAGAAAATAACTACCTAACCAGTAATCCATGGGCACAACCAATGTTCATACTACTCTCACGCTCCAAGTAAATTTGGTTTTCAATTCTCCAAAGTTGCCAAAGTCAACAAGTGGTAAAAGGACTCAGCTGTCAAGCAACCTTTCCTTGGGATTTGCCATCTCACTGCATCTTCTTCATTCCTCTATGGTTTTGCCTCTTCAAGTGCCTCATAAAACATAGAGACAGATCCCTATCCCAGTGATCAAAGTTTCTCAGAATTCAATTCTCCTGGCAAACCTATCACCTGCAGCATATCTGTATGATAATTACATACACATCCACATCCACATTTCATAGACACCTCAAAAGCACCCAAATCCCTCCCTCCTTCCCACCCAAGTCCCAACCTGCAGCGCCCGGATTGGCTCAGTTTTTTGCCTGAAAAGTGGACTGAGCCAACCCATATACACCCTACTTCCCATTATTTCACTCTCCCTCGCTTGTTTTTCCTTTGAACCTAGACTTCACCTACTTCTTTCAATGAATCGCCACCTACGAAAACAAAGAAAGAAAAGCTATACCTTCCAGAGATTGTCGCTGATTTTGCAGGGCGTAACGTCGATAACCTATGAACTCACTACCAAGCATCCACAGACTAAACTTAGGAAGAAACACTGATTCAACGTCTCTCCAACAAAATTCAACAACACATCCTTCAAGTGCCCGCGCAATTGCAGCACCAAACGAATCGAATTCAAAATCCAGCTCAAGCTTTACATCAACTCAAATAAAATTCGGATGTGCCAGGCATTACCTGATCTATATAGCAAGCTGCATCATGAAGCCCAGAACGAACCTCAGGGAGAGAATCGTTCACCCGAAGCTACGTCACCAGTTTCCATGGCTTCGGTCGGCAGTGGTAGCCCGTCGCCTCCGTTGGCCGGTCTCCGTCGCCGTCGGTCCGCCGGGGACTCTGTTTCCGGAAGACGAACTTCTTCTTCTTCTTCTTCTTCTTCTGCTCGTCGCCACCGTCGGCAGGTGGCGGCGATCTTCCATTTCGTCAGAGCTCGGCGGTGTCGGATGGAAAGATGAGGGAGGAGTCGTGACGTCGAAAGCGGTGCTCGGTGGAGTTTGAAAAGCTCCTTCCTTTTTCTGATTAGACGGTTTGTTTATGTATAAGATGGAAAGTGGGTAATTTTATTTATTTAAGCAAGCGAATCATCAAAAGATATGCCATATTTCCTATTATGATGGAAGGTTTTTTTTTTTTTTGGTAAAGATAAGTGTAACGTGCATGATTCTTTCCAAGGTCCTATATGTCTTCCTAATGAGTTAAGATGGTTTGAATGGCCTGGATGTGCTGGCCGGTTATGATGGAAGGTTAATTGTTGAGAAAGCCGAAAATTAGTTTTTTTTTTATATATATGTTCCTTTTGTCTCGAGGAAAATTCGACATTTATAATTTTAAAAAAAAAGTCTTTTTTTTTTTCGAAAAAATGACAGCGGGGCACTATGCAACTGAGGTTGCCGATAATTTGCTAACAATCGTGTATTCGAATCTATTTACAGTAATAGTAGAGCAAAAAGGATAGTGATTGGGATCGCTCCATGGTTCCGTACTCGAGTATGAAAATGGCAAATGGGGCTTGGATTGAGTAATGAATCTAAATCTTTTAAACTCGGAAGTCCCATCTTCATTGACGCATCAGCAGAATCCTCGTACTTTGGAAACCCAATTAAGGTTGTGCACTCGTTAAGGACCAATCTTTCCATATTTTGTAACTTGTATATGCTAGACGGAAGACTTACCAGGTTCTTGCAATTATGTAACATCATTCTCTCTAAAGAAACAAGATTTTCTATTGATGCAGGAAGTTCTTTAATAGCAGTCCCTTGTAAACAAAGCGATTTCAAGCTTTCGAGTTTATGTGGAATATCAGGGAACCTTTCAAAATTTCCGCAATCTTTAAGATCAAGACGTTGGAGATTTTTTGACTTGAGCACATTTGGAAAAACACTAAGTTTAGAGCACCCCTCGAATGTCAACACTCGTAGCTTCTCATGATGTGCAATCGATTGGTGGACTT